TTTCCTTTTTTCCTTTTTTTTTTTGTTTTTTTTGGGGGGGGTTTTTTTTTTTTGATAAAGAAATAGTGATATGATTAATAATAACTAATTATTTGAAATTTTTTGATAATTAGAAGTAAGATATTAAATCAATTGTTCATTAATTAAATGATTAAAAAGGAAAAGTATATTCTTTCACTCCTTATTTTTTTTTTTTTATTTTAACTTTTAATCCCCACATATACAGTTTAAATCAAAACTGGAGGAGAACCAGCGGTAAGTGGGGAGTTGGTAGCATAAGGTGAACCTGAGTAGAAACAATACTGATTTACAAGATCATAATATGAACTTGATCCGATGTCAGGTTTTGATGGTGATGGAATCGCGATTGGATTCGAATTATTCAATTGTGAATGTGAAATGGGAAAATCAGAAGTACCTGGCATCCCATCAACATAATTATTTGGAAAAAATGCTTGAAAAGCTTCGTTACTATAATTATTATTATAATTACCATATTGTACTTGAGGAGCGAAAAATTGAAATGTACGTGAATAATCATTTGTTGGAGTTACTGGAGCTGATGATCTAGAATTTTGAGCGACAGACAATGAAACACCAATATCATAACGTCCCATCACTCTCTTTCTTACGTCATCCATATTTAATTTAGGTGAAGATTCCAATGTTGGTGGAGAACGACAAAGAGATTCATTCAAATTCTTAGTTGATTGACGTGACATGGATGCCATAGACCATTTCGATGAATTGGATGAAGTATTTTGATTATTTTTACTTTTTTTATTATTAGAAAATATAGTTGATGAAGGTGGTGTTATCCTCTTAAAATTAACTTGATAATTTGATCCATTATTATTATCCCAAAAATCATTATTTTCTACACTATAATGAACGGCAAAATACATTGTCTTTCCATCAATAGGATTTCTTGAATTATCGATCAACTCGATAGAGAAAATGAAAGCATCAAAACTATTCTTATTATCCTTTGAAGTTATACCTTCAACAAAAGTTGCTCGTACTTCAGATACGGTAGACCAAAAATCAAAAGTGTACCTTACATCAACAGTTTTTTGAAAAGCAATATTTTGTACCATAATTCGACCTTGAAGTTTTCTTTTATCTTGAGATAAATAGATTGATTCTACGAATACAGGTTTTGAACTATGTAAAGTAGTTATAACAGGTCTATTTGGAAGAGAAATGATAAGTTCAGGTTCTTCAATGTTATCATCTTCATCATCAGAAGCGGAATAACCAAGTATATTATCATCAAATACATTATCATCGTCAGACTCCTCATCAGATGAGACATCAGCACTTACAGCTTGTGGTCTTTGTGCCTCATTGAACAACCTAATTTGTTCCAGATCTGCATTGAAATGTACATACTTTGGGAAAGTGGGCGTAACAGGCTCGGATTTTGAAAGGCCCTTTTTAAGCGAGGGTTTTACAATCTCACCACTCTTCTTTCTTAATATGCAAGGACGAATTTCGGGTAATGGCAATGTAGGTAAGTTAACTTTTAAAGAAGGTTTTCTTGAATATGATTCTGGAGCAGATTTACGTCTTGGAGAAGTTGAAAGTTGAGGAGAAGTTGAGAGGATATCTTTGACTTCCTTTATAGCATTATCACGATCGATATCTTTCACAAAATCATTAGCAAATTTGTCCAAATCAAAATTCTTCTTTTTAGAACCAATAGACGATATCGTTGAAAAAGGCCATCCTTTACAAGGAGTTGATGGGGAAAGAGCAGGACTTGTTGTTGGAGGTGTGTAAGGCATTTTTGATTATGATGTAAATGTGTGTTTTTATGTGAGTGTATGTGTATAAAAGAGATAAGGGAAAAAAGTAGAAAATTATAATATATATATGTGTGGAGTAATTTATCCCCTGAAAAAAAAAAGTGAAAAAGTGAGTTATTTTATATATCAATCAAAAAAAAAAATGATATTAAATAAACTAACGATATTAGGATAAACGTCAAGTTATTATTATATTAATAATATTAGATAAACGAACATAAAAAACCGAATTTACGAGAAAACGTTAGACGCGTTTAGAAAATTCCACAATTTTTTAAGGTTTCACCTTAATAATATACGAGTGAAGAACACGGTTTTAAATAAAAGGAGAAAAATAATAACTTGACGAATACCTTCATAAGTTATAGATGAGAAAGGGGGGAAAAAAAAAAATATTGTACATGATAAACATGATAAAAAAAAAAAACGCATATATATATATATATAATAACAGGATTTAAAAACGGTTTTGACATTTGGGGGACAACTTGTAAGGTCCATTATCTTATATATCAGAAACAATTGTATGGGATTGATAAAAAGATTTGATTACCTTTTTTACATGAGAAATAAGTTTGAAAGTTTGAAAATTTCACCGTATCATCATCATCAAAAAAGGAAAAAAGAAATTATTGTGGTTTGAATAAACCTTTATTTATACCTACGCACCGCATATTATAAAACAAGACCATTCCTTTTTGTCAATTTTCGGTTGGCTAAAAAAAAAAAAAAAAAAAATTTTTTTATGGAGATTAACTTCAAATGGACATAATTTTCTTGGTTTTCGCCATCTCCGCATTTTTTGAAAAATTTCGCATTTTTTATTTATTATTTTTAAGTTTGCGGTTAAAAGAATTTCTTTTCCGGAAATATCATTCCATTAATATTTCATTTTAATAATGTATATCAAATGATTTCGATAACTCCGGATAAGAAAAAATAAAAATAAAAATAACAATGAAATATACCTTTTAGAATTTTTCTTCTTGAAACGAATGAGAAAGTAAGTTATATTATAAATTAATAATACTAAAAGGGAAAAGGATGATCACGCGTCAAAAAAAAAAACCATTTTTTTTTATAAATTGTATTTTAGAAGAAAATTGGCTTGGTTTCTTTGATGCTTAATGACAATCTGGGGTAAAAAGGATGAGATAGGAAAGGCATTTGGGTAAGTAAGTAAGTTGATGCTCAAATGGATGTACTTTGGTAAAAAAATGATCGAAATGTTTATTCTGGGTAAAAGTTGTAAAAAAGTTCTATATCAAAAAGTGGCGGTAATGATGATAATTTGGTTAAATGGAAAAAAAAAATGTATGATGACGGTATCGTAATTCTCTCGTAGAAATGATAAATATTTGCAAGGTCAAATTTTAAAGAATTTCAATTAAACCAGATCTGTAACAAGATTATTTTATTTTAGTCCTAAATTTAGAATTAAGAGTTTTAACGTCTATCATTAATTAAAAGTCAAATTAAAATTCAAAATTAGACCCCCTGTAATTTATAATTATTATTAATTTAACTATACTATCTAAAGTCATTCATTCATTTGCATTAGCTAAGCCTATACTAAAAAATTACATTATTCAAAAATTTTCATTCTTCCTTATCCATCCAATCATAAGTAAATTTCCCAGCTATGGGTAAAAAGTCAAAAAAAAAAAAAATTTTTTTTTTTTTTTTATAAATAAAAAAAGTATGAAAGCACAATGTTTCACATTATTGGTTCCATTGTACAGTACATACTTAATTATAAAAAAAAAAAATTTACATACATGTGGCGATTGTACTTTATATTTCTGATATTTTAATAAAATATTATTGATCAAAAAGATAACAACAAAAAAAAAATTTAAAAAAAAAATATTTTTTATCGTTAAAATTTGATTGGTTATGAGGATAAAATTGCATTATCAATGAAAAAAAAAAAGGTACAATAAATAACAATAATAATAACTTTGATTACAACCAAAACTGCGGGATATTTATTTACCGCAGATCGTATTCTGATTTGTTGTTACTGCGTAAATTTCAAAATTTTCTTTTTACTTTTTTATTTTATTTTATTTTATTTTTATTTATCTTTTAAAATATTGGGTAAAGTAAACCACCGAAGTAAACAATGATAAGAATAGTTGTTATCAAAAAAAGGGTAAAGGGTTTTCAGCAATGTTTTACAATTTGTCGATTATGTTGATTACAAAAAATTTGCCAAGGCAAGTGAATTTTTGTAACGTTATAAAAAAAAAAAATTAAAAATTTAATTTAAATCAGCTGATGAAAATCCATTAAAGAAAATATTAAATATTTTATAAAAATTAAATTATTTAAAAAAAATTATTTTAACTTTAAATGATTAACGGAATCGCTTTTTTCCCCATATGTTGAAATATATAATCGGTAAGGTCGTAAAGGTAAGTTTGAAGAGTCTTAAAAAGTGAATTAAGAAAAAAAATATCTAGACCCGAATTATTGTAATTTCCTATATAATTATTATTTTGATGACAAATCGGAAATTTTTTGCGAGAAAAAGGAATCTTATTTATATTGTTATTATTTAAAAAAAGACCCTTTTATTTGTGAAAATCATCAAAAAATCCGAAAGACATTTTTACCACGTGGATGAAACCCAATGATAACCGAAATAGATATTGACCCGGTGAAATTTGTTACATTAGCTTACATAATAATTTGATAAAGAATTATCCAATTATGGATAACAATCTTATCATAATTCAGGCCAAAATATCAATTATTTTTTTTTTTGAATCATATGAAAATATGTTGATTCCGCATATTTGTTTACAACTTTACAACTAATAACCTCCCAACATTATTTTACTTCTTTTTTTTTACACATTATTATTTTAAAAAAAAAAAAATAATAATAATATTTATCGGTTAATCATAACCATTATTATTATTAATATGAAAGGAATCATTCAACTATAATACTCTTTTTATGTTCATTATTATTTATTTTATTTATTATTTTTCTTCTTTTTTCTTCTTTTCAAATTATGGATTATTTGTTTAAAACCTTGTTTCTAAATTGGTTTCATTACTTTTTTTTTTTACTCTCCGAAATAAAGGAGATTGGAGATTAGTTTAACTAATTAAAATAATAATAAAAAAAATATTTTTTTTTTCTCACGATGAAAATTAGTTGAAATTCCATACTTGGGAATTGAAAAATGTGGGGTACGTGGATGTTTATGTGTTACCTTTGAATTATAAATCACATGACCATAAAACCTTCTTTTTTTCCCTGCTTTCTAACTTACTTATTTGTATATATGGAAATAAAATAAAAATTTTTTTTTTTTATGTAAAATCAAGGGATCATCATTACATTTTTTCAAAAAAGGTACATTCATAAACAACTTTAAAAAATTTGATTACGGATAAAATCTTGGGAGGGGTTAATTTCAGGTCCCCCGGAAAAACTTTTGGGTTAAAGAATTTATCAATTACGTAGTATATATATCATATTTTTTTTTAATGAATACTTATTAAAAAAAATAAGTTGTCATCTTTATGTCATAATTCATATTTTATCACTTTACTCTTAAAATTATGTAGTGTATCCATCTATTCATTGAATTATATATTCAATTAGAATTGATATTTCTAATTAAAAGCTTGTTTGTAATCATTATTTATTTATTTAATTATTTTTTATTATTGTTGTTATCTTTTTTTTTCTTTTACTTTTCTTTTATTTTCTTTTTTTTTTTTCTCGTCACACTTATTTTACTTTATCCCTTTGTTTTCCTTATTTTTTCCGATCACCAAAAAAAAAAAATAATAATAATAATTTAATAAAGAAATCAAAATAAATTGAAAATTGACCATATGACATATTTTATCGAAGTTTGACGTAAAACATGTCTATTAAATACATATTTAAATTAATTAATTGGATGTCCAAACATCAGGTATAAAATCATGACCGACTCAGTACCTTATTATTTATATATTTGCAAAATTTCATATTTCGAATGAGCCGAATGAGCCGAATGAGGCAAAAATGATGATGTTTACTTAATAATAATAAATAATTTAAAAATCATCCCCCCAATTTTCTTTGTGTAATAAGTAAGTAATAAGTAGGATAATAGGCAAACTTGGTAAAAATTTATGCACAAAAAAAATTTCTTTAAAAAAAATGTTTATTCCGAATTTTTTGTTTCAGAATGATTTATTTTTATTTTTACATACAGAAAAAAGATATTTTTTTTTTTTTCAAAAAGATATGGCGTTCCAAAATTTTTATAGAAAAACAGGTTTTTTTTATTTGATCTGAATAAAAGTCATCTGACCTTTTCAACGTGACTACATAAAAAGATCCTATCTAGGTAAATTTTGAAAGAGAAATAACGTTGAACAAGAAAATCTACTTGGTCTGTGCTTTTGTTATATTTGGTAACGTAAATAGGTTTAATCAAATTTTATGTATATATATATATATTTTTCTTTTTACGCTAATATAATTTAATTATATATAATATCTTTGTGTTATTATACAAGTAAATTATTTCTTTTTAAAATAAAAAAAAGTCATTGAGAATGTATGGCAACACGAAAAGATTGATCATTATGTTGTTGAAAAATGTTTTTAATGTTTTTATGAAATAGTTGCTTGTAAATATTGTGATAATGTGATTTATTCCATTTTTCACATGTATGTAATTTTTATATTAACCATTAGAAAATCAAAAGATACTGTAAATGGAAATTGGAAGTTGAATGGAATTAAAAAGAGGAATAGTATTAGAAGAAGATGGTACTTTATAAATATACCCGAAATTTGATCGATTTTAATATTTCAAGACTTGGTATTTATTAGAAGGGTAAATTGAATTAGGGGATAAACGAAATTAAAGATAAATGGAATTAAGGATAAATTGAATTAGGAATTAAAAGATAAATGGAATTGAAAGATAAATGGAATTAAAAGATAAATGGAATTAAAAGATAAATGAAATTAAAAGATAAATGAAATTAAAAGGTAAATGGAATTAAAAGATAAATTGAATTAAAAGATAAATTGAATTAAAAGATAAATTGAATTAAAAGATAAATTGAATTAAAAGATAAATTGAATTAAAAGATAATGGAAGAGGATAAATGGAAGTGGAATTAAAGATAAAGATAAATGATGAATGGAATTAGAAGATAAATGGAAGAAGATAAATGGAAGTACACAGTGAAAATTCGATATACCGGAACCTTGATATAACGGAACATAAGTAAAGTCTTGATATATCGAAATTGGGGTCTGGAACGGATTATCATAATCTATAATTTACCCTCGATATAACAAATTTTACTAATGGAACGGATGATTCCATTATATCTTCACTGTGTAGATAAATAAATGGAAGAAGATAATTAATACAGATGAGTGAATTAGAATATAAACGGATTTAAGGATAAGTAGAATTAGGGCAAACGTGGCATAGCGCTTTTTATTTTTATTAATATTTACACAAGAGTTTACAATAAAATAAACAAGAAACACTAACTAAAAATAAAGCTATATAGATCAAATAGAATTAGAAGATAAGTTTTTTCTTTAATGAGGGATATTTTTTTTGATTGAGAAATTTCATCAGAGAATTTTTCTTTAATAGAAGAGTTAACTTTGTGGAATTAGAAGATAAATGGATTAGAAGATAAAATAAATTTGTAAGGTAAATCATAGGTTAGGAAGATAAAGGATAAATGGAACTAGAAGATAAATGGATTTGGAAGATAAATCTTAAATGGATTTAAAATATCAATGGAAAACAATTAAATCTTAAATGGATTTAAAAGATCAATGAAAAACAATTAAATCTTAAATGGATTTAAAAGATCAATGGAAAAAACAATTAAATCTTAAATGGATTTAAAAGATCAATGGAAAACAATTAGTATTAGAAGATGCTTGGTATTAGAAGGTATTTATTACTTGGTGGTATGAGATATTTAGTATTAAAAGTTACAGTAATTAGTATTAATTTTGACGCATTACGTCATATAGATTATTATCACACATTTACTATGCTTTTCATATGGAACATGATCTTGGACGTCTACAGTTATTAGGTAGGGGGGTTAAAATATCATCCGAACTGCTTCGCAGTTCGGTGATATTTCAACCCCCCTACCCAATAACTATTATTTAAAAGGTATTTGGTATTAAAAGATTATTTTATTTTTAACCAGTTTGGTAAAAAATACTTACTTGATTGGTAGATAAATTAGTAATATTAAGAATTTAAGATATACTGAACGTCTGAACGTATATATTTTAATATTATAAGATAAATGAATGAATTATTAGATGACAGGTTATCTCACGTGTTTTTTTCCAAAAGTTACTTTAGATTCGAAAGAATGAAAACAAATGATAGATTAGGCTAGTCATAGAATTAGGTGTGTTTAGGATTTGAAAGGCGATCGTTTCTTAACTCACATATCTAATGTTTATATAGTTAAAATTATCCTTTACCGAATTCGAAATGTCCGAAATTAAATTTTATTGTTACAGAAATTTTATTGAAAATCCGGCCCATTTTTACAACCAATTAAAGAACATTTTTTCATAATTGCGCTTTAAAAGTCTTAACAATGTAAGAAAATGTCGAATAAAAATGCCACGTATAATTATTATTGACGTTCATTTGATATTGTTTACGAGTTCCGACAAGTTATAGTTATATGAAACGTAAAATTTTGGACCACCAAACTATAAATTCTATTTATAGTAATTATAGTCCACTTACAAAGGGATGTGTGGGGAAAAAAGCTTTATCAACAATAAATCAGCCACTTTAATGCATCGGCATAATCATCTTTTTCCCATCATTAAAAAAACCATCCCCTTGCGGCTCATACATACAAAGACTTCAAACATCTGTAACATTTGGTTATTACTTATTTCTAGGTTTTTCGTTTTTCAGCTAATTATTTAGGATTTTGTAAATTTTTTTTTCCAACTGGATTTTAAACATAAGTCTTTTTTAATAATATTTTCTGTCTTATAATATGGCTGACGAGTTTGATATATACAACGATAGTAACTTTGATGGAGGAATTGGAGATACCGTATGTCAAGAAAGATTATTTTATCCTTTAGATTTAGTCTCGAAAGGATTTACCAAACCAAGTTTTGAGTCTCAACTTTTTTTTTTTTTTTTGATCTTTATAAAAAAACTAAAAGCAAATAGATTTGTATGCCGAGATTTTAGATGATGAAAGTCGACCAGCTAAACGTAAAAGAGATAACGACTTAGATTACAGTGTTTCTATTTCTGACCACCATCATGGTGATCATGAAATCAAAGATGGTGATGATGATTTGTTTGCTGATTTCGGGGAAGGTGAAAAGGTTCGTAATTACTTCACAGCGCAGCTGGTTCCTATGTTTCTATTTTAAGTAGCTGTATATGTATACCTGAACTGCGCTGTGATGTATTAAAAAGGATGGGTGGAAATTTGTTAGACTTCTTCGCATCTTTACAATGTTTTTTCTTTTTCTATTCATTTCTTCAAATTGTGCATTTATACGTTTTCGATTCTGTTTGCATTTGTCTGCACTTAATTGTTTTAATATTAAACTTTTCTTTTACGGTTCAAGATTATTTTATTTTGATAGTTTTTTGTCATTATAAATCATTTGAAAATATCTGTAATCATAGGAGGAAAAAAAAAAAAAGAAAAAGATTGTATCTTATATAAGAGAAAAGAAAAATCATGACAAAGTAAAACTATCAAAAAGAAAAAAATTGTATATCAATCCAATTGAACCCGGAATCAAAAAAAAAAAAAAATAAAAAAGTTTCAATGAACTTACAAGATCTTGTTTTTTTTTTCCCTTTTTCTTTGTTCCTGTCTCCAAATTAATCTCGTCATTCATTTGAACGATATTTGCTCAATTCCTCATTGTCGATTTTTAAAATAGGGTTTTGAAGTGAAAATGGAAGGATCCGAAGACGATTCAAAATCAAATACACAAAATTCCACTCTAGAAGGTAAAATATAGTGTGCATATATATGTAACATTTTATACATTATGAAGGGATGAACGAAAAAAAAAAGAATGCACTATTTTTTTTTTTTTTTTTTTAATTTTTTTTTAAAGAGACGATAAAGAAATATGTTTTTCGTTTAAATAATGCTTATCATATAGGTCATGACAATGCTGTGCCACGAGTTTCTTCTGCAAATAGTGGTATGAGTCATCAACTTCCAGATCGTAAACCAGTAGCAAATGCCACAAACGCGTTATATATTGGTGATTTGAATTGGGTAAATCAAAGGATTTTTTTTTTTATAAAAGTAATTTTTTTGGTCTCCTTTATTTGTGTAAGATATGATTTGTTAACTTTTCTTTTTTCTATTAAATTTAGTGGACTACGGATGAGGATCTTAGGAACGTTGCTCGTGATGTTGGTGTAGGATCGGATGTAACAGAAGTAACCTTCTATGAACATAAAGTGAACGGAAAATCACGAGGGTAAATTTTATTTATGAACGGTTATTGATTTTAATTAAACATAATGATCAATGTTTAACAATATACTGATTGTATTTCACATTTTATTTTGATAGAGTTGCTTATATGGAATTTATTTCATCAGAGTCGGCAAGTAAGGTTAAAGAGAGAATGGAGGCAGTGTTAGTTATTAATTTCATTGGTTAATCTTGATTTTTTTATATCATGGATCATCATTGAATCATTTATTTTTTATTTTATTAGTGAAATCACGGGTAAAAAATGTCTCGTCAATTTTACAAGTTCAGCAAATGGTAATCCTTTTAAAACCGTACCGAAAGGTATGAAATTATTGTATCTTTTTATCAAAATTGTTTTATTATTTATTAATAATTTATGTATTCTTTTTATTTTATTTTTTAATAAAAGAACCTCCACCAAAAGCTGCTCGTCAAGCAATGCAACAGCAAGCTTCTGGAGGTCAGCGAACATCCACGAATCTTCCTGTACGTCCTGCAGTTATGAGACCAAGTGGGATGGAATTTCATCATCCGCGTGGTGGTTTCCGAGGAGCACCCGAACCAAGAAATTTCTTTAATCCATATGGTGCTTTTGCTTCAGGCCGTGGAGGTTATATGAATGGTTTCGGTGGTGTAGGAGATGCATCTGCATTTGGAATGAATCCTATGATGACAGCACGTGGTGGAATGATGGGTATGCGAGGACAAGTTCCTGCTCGTCGTGGAATGATGGGTGGACGAGGAGTAATGCGTGGAGGATACAATGAAGATTTCAGTATGGGAGGTGGTTTCACCGGAGGTGAGCATTAAAAATTTAAAATAAATTATTTAATGAAAAAATTTTCATCTATGAATTCACTATAATTAGCACCAACCGGACCTGCAGGATTTCCTGCACCACATTTTAATCCAGCATTCTTTGAAAGTGGATATGGAGGTGCGGATGAAACAGTACCCGTAGCGCCACGAGGACAAAGGTATTTCCCCTCCCAATAGCCGCCATGGTTTCCGTGATGAGGATGATCTTTTTAATTAGACTCTTAATAAAACTATTGACCTTTTAAATAAATTATTAAATATATACAGAGGGTATGATAAAGCGCACCATGGAATAAAAAGAATTCGTGATGATGAACATGGGCGCATGGATGGGCGAGGTAGCCTAAAAACGTGATATTTAATCAAACTTCTTATTCCTTTTTTTTTTTCTTATCTCCTCTCTCCTTCCCCTTTTTACTTTTCAAGATAAAAAATTATTATTATTTTTTTTTTCTTTTCTTTTTCTTTTTCTTAATTCTTCCATATATTTTTAATAATGATTTATTTCTTCTTTGTGTCAGATCATCGAAAATGAAAAGGATTGATTGTATTACTAACTTAGAAGTTAATGAAAACCAAAGAAAAAAAAAATATACATATAGACGATATTTTTTCTTTAGATTATATTGTAAATGTTTAGCTCAACCCCTTTATTATTTCTTTTTTTTTTTTTTATTCAATATTATATAGAATAAAAAACCACAATGCATAAATTTGAATTAAAATAAAAATATTCATATTATACAAAAAATTATTCAGAATTTTTAAGTTGAAAGATTAAAAATGGTGAAAACAAGATTCAAAATAAGATTTAAACAAAACATTAAAGATTTAAATAAGATTCAAACAAAACTTTTAAAGATTCAAATCAAAACTTTAAAGATTCAAATAAGATTTTAAATATTTAAACAAGATTTCAAAATTCAATAATATTTAAAATAAAACCCAAATAAATATTTAAAATAAAGATTTATAAGATTCATAGAAATTTTTGTATTATTTTTTTTTTAAAAAAAAAAACTTCTTTATAATATAATAAAAGTATATTATAAAGATTATATGAAGGAATTTTATAAAATGTAATTATATAATATGATTATATAAAGATTTAACTGAAATTTTAATTTAATTAACACAATAAATTTTATTAAAAATTCAATTAATTATAATTAATTAACATAATATATTTAAGTAAAAAATTAATTTAGATTAATTATAAATTAATTAGTACAATAAATTTTAAGTAAAAATTTAATTAACTATAAATTAATTAATACAATAAATTTAAGTAACTTAATTTTGTTGCCTATAGCACATTTTAATACTTTATTAAGATAAAAAATAGTAAACTACAAATACTGAGTAAATTATGTAAAACCCTAATTTATTAAATATTAAACTATTTATCATTTTACGGTAAATTAATTAACTTAATTATAAATTAATTAATATAATAAATTTAAGTAAAAGTTCAATTAATTTAATTATAAATTAATTAATATAATAAATTTAAGTAAAAATTAACTTAATTATAAATTAATTAACACAATAAATTCAAGTAAAAATTAACTTAATTATAAATAAATTAATACAATAAATTTAAGTAAAAATTCAATTTAATTTATAAATTAATTAATACAATAAATTTAAGTAAAAATTCAATTTAATTTATAAATTAATTAATACAATAAATTTACTAAGTAAAAATTCAATTAAATTAATTAATACAATAAATTTAAGTAAAAATTCAATTAAATTAATTAACACAATAAATTTAAGTAAAAATTAATTTTACAAAATAAATTTTATTGTAAAAAGAATTCTTAAAAAATCTAAATAACAATGGTTTTATATATAATTAAAACTATACCAATTATATATACTCTAACAGTTATATTAGAAAATAACATAATCTTTTTAGGTAAAGATAATCTGCATTTAGTATTGTTTGATAATATTTCTAGGTTAGAAAAATAATTTTAATCTAACCTTTTTTAAAATATCTGATTTTTGTATTTTAAATTTGGCAAATTTGATTGGATAAAATCTTGTATCTGTGTTTTCGGCCAATTAAAAACCTTCGTTTAACCTTTATTCTCTTTAAAGAATTTAGATTTACAAATAATTTTGTTAGATCTAATATAAATTATATTTATCAATCTGTGTTAATAAATCTTAATTAAACTTGGATAAATTATAAATTATAAAATATTCTTCTAGTTAATCCAAAATATGACATTCTAAATTAATTGATAAACTGATAATACCTTTTTCGTGAATACCTTCCTTATACAGTCTAATGAAGTGTAGATCATGATTCAGGCTTCGTCACACAACCTTAAATGTTCACAGTTCACACGATATTTTTTCTGGATGTTTCCAGCGCGAGCCAGTTGAAAAAAAACAATGATTATTGGCTATTCATTTAACACAACCAAACCACCGGAGTAGAATTTCCCAAATATTATCTTTCAAAAAACTCCGTTCGTTAACATTTATAAATATTTAAATTTTTTCCAAGAATACTAAAAAAGTTTTTTTAAAAAAAAGTTGTTCTTTTATATTTTATCAAATATATTAAATAAATAACCATTTGTCTAAATAAAAATGCCTATTGACTATAGTAAGTGGGATAAACTTGAACTTAGTGACGACGACGACTTTGAATGTCACCCTAATGTGGATAAAGCGTCTTTTATTCGATGGAAACAAGCGGACATTCATCAAAAACGCGAGGAAAGACGTCGAAAAATTGAAGCTCTTAAACTTGAGACCTCAAACAACGTAGTATTACTTAAACGTATTGATGATATGATACAACAAATAATAGAGGGAGGAGTTGAAACTTTTTTACAAACAATTGAAAAGTTACGAGAAACAAATAAAAAGATAGCATCCGAAGCAAAAGAAGCAAAAGATGAAAAAGATGAAAAAGATGAAGAATCTTCGGAAGATTCTTCACAGAAAGAAGAACAGCTTGCATATCCAACTTTTGATCAAATGATGGGTGTTTTATTTGAAAGAATTCAAGATGAAGTTAAAAATGAAAGTCCAGAAAAAGTTGGGGAACAATTAAAAAATAAATTAATTGAACATCGTAATAAATTAAGTCAAAGACAAAAAGAAGCTAAACAAGAATTGGAGAAAGAAGAAAGAGAAGCTAGGAAGAAAATTACCATGGATGATATGCATACTGGATTTGATAAGTCGGTAAGTAATTTTTGTTAATCAAAAAATTTTGTCCGATTGTCTACATACTAATAAAGTTTATATATAATTTATAGTCTGTTAGTAAAGTCGCTAAAATTGAACCACCAAAACCTCAACCGAAAAAAACAAAAAAAAAAGAACAAGTTGTCGAAGTCTTAAATCCCAATGCTCAAATGAAATCACTTGATGATAACGAGGTAAATTTACAAATAATTTTTTTTTTATTTAAATTTTTGATAATAAAATTTAAAATTTTAATAGAAAAATCAAGCTGAGGTAGATGAAAAAGATGATGAAAAAGAAGAAAGTGATGATGATGATGATGAGGAAGAGGAGCTTTTGACATCAGATCTTGCGAAAGAATTCGCAATGATTAAAGATTACGATAGGAGTTTCGAATTTATCACAAAACATCCTGAAGTCGTTTCTCAAGAGATAGTTGATCAAATTTTAGCAGAGGCATTCCAATCTCAATTAAAAGGAAAAGCCAAGTATGCAAAACAAGCTGTACATCAAGCGTGGTTATTACAGTACTGTCAAAAGCTTGGAAAAGATGGTGTTACACTTTTCTTCAAAAGGTATGTTTGAACCATTTTCGACCCAAATGGTTGAACTATATGTCTTTATAAATTAAATATTTTATTTTATTTATTTATTTTTTTTGTTAGGATAACTTCACCAAACCCTCAAGCACGTGAAGTTTTCATGAAGGACGTTAATGAAACCTATGACCGTATTCGTGAGCGTTGTCAAATTATGGCAGCAGAGAAAACTCAAAAGCCTCAACCTGCTAAACAAGTAGAACAGATTCAAATTGAAGTGACAGATCCTAATATGTCGCTTAACGTTCGTGTTCCAGATGAAAATGCTGCAGATGAAGAAGGAAAAAAGAAATATCAACTTTTTAAAACTTTACCTGAAGATTTCCAGGCAGCTTTAAAAACTACCGAAATAACGAAAATTAATAAAGTTTTAGGCGAAATGACTGTTGAAAAAGCTGAACATGTTTTACAAGTCTGTGGAGATGCCGATATTCTTTCAATTGAACCAGGAATTATTGATACAACGCAAGGTGAAGTTGTTCCGGGACAAGAGATCGACAATGTGTCACATGATGATAAAAAAGCGGATTTATAGGAATAAAAAATAAGTATGAGAAATTGGACGTTAGATAAATATAACAAATATTTTCTTATGTATATTTTTTTGATTATGTAAATTATTCTAGTAAATTTATTCATATTTATTAAACGGTTTCATTTTAAATGCCATCCTATAATACATAATAAAAACGTCGTAATCGATATTTACAATTGGATGATTAAATAGCGGCACTACACGCCGCATTAGTTTTTAATCCGCAATTTTATACCAATTTTAGTGAGATATATGAGATATAACAGATAACTGATAATACTGAACTTCATAATCACGTGAAAATTAAGTTAGAAGTTTCGATATCATTCTAGCGATTTTTAGTAACCAAAACTTGCCAAATAAAACGCCTCATGATGAATTTATCGCATAATTTTTTAGTGATAGTCATACCCTAATTCAAACATAAATAGAGCGAAATTTTGCCTTCTCTCACATCTTCGTTTTCACTTTATTGTAAAAATTAGAAGAAAAACCCTACTATTTTTTACTTTAAATAAAAAATGACTCGTACAAAACAAAGTACCACTCCTCATGCTCTAGTTAAGGACCGCCACCTTCAAAGGTAAATAAGCGCGGTTAGTCGCGTTATTTGTGCTTCATTATTATTTTATGACAAAATTTAAATTTTGATATATATATTTAGGAGCGGAACAACGGATCCAAGAGGGAATCCAAAAAAGGTTTATATTTAATTTTTTGAATTCATGTATTTAGTTTATAATGTTAATTATTTATGCTTTTTTTATACAGGAAGGAGGAGGTCCTCATAACTGGGGAAAACCCACCGATGTACTCGCAGAACTGGATGAACATTATGAATTTAAAGAAGAAACACCCAAGTACAATAAAGAAAAAGTTCAAGACACGAAAGCTGCAGAGACTAACAGAGAAACCGGAAAAATACAAGTTGTGAAGCCGGAAGAATTTGAAATTCTTCATCGTGCAACCAACTCTTAATTTCGTAATAGCAAAAGCCAATAGCAACAACTATCTATGTCTATTATAGTATAAATTTTTGGTGTAAATTGCAAATTATCTCCACATAGTTTTTCACACTAGACGTACTTTTTTGTAACATAAATAAAATATTTTTCAACTTTTTACATATGAAGCATAAAAACATGATAAAATTTTATTTTGATAAATAATTTGTTAATTTTAGTTAATATAATTAATAAAAATTTACAAAAAAATATTACAACTAATTCATAATTACTTAAGGTCAATTTAAATGACTTTTTTTGTCATACAGCAATTTTCATACCTACATCAACAACATCATTAATTGGAATATTCCAATTTCCATATAATTCTCTTGAAATATTTTCCATGAAGACGTAACAGTTAATTAAAACCTTTTTCCCATAAAAAGCACTTGGTTTAGGTTGAAGAGATTGTCGATCAAGGATATAAGTTACATGATTTCCAGGATTTGAGCTTTCTGATAAATCTTCACTATTTGGATCGATTTTACGAATTTCTTGAATCATTTTCGTTATAAATTCCTCTCCTTGAGAAACAACTTCCATATAACCATAACGTGCAATTATACGATAACAACCGTTATAACGAACTTTTTTCACAATTAAACGATCATCATCGCCAACAAAAGGAATTGCAAGATGACGTATACTGATGAATATGAGAATTTTTGGTACCGCAGGAAAATGATGTACAAAATGTTTAAACGTAAGGGGAACACCATATCCTGCTCCATTATAAAACATTCCAATTCCCGGCAATCTACTAACTTGATATCCATTATTTGAAAGTTGAAGTTCACCACTTTTTAGTTTTTTAGGTTCGATTGAAGATACTGGATTTCTTATTATAATTTCATCATCATTTCCAAGTTCTGAAATAGATTTTTCGTTATCTGATTTGTCATCAGGATCGGCAAAAATGTTTTCAAAGGTTGACTTTGAATCGAGCTCATGTTGATATTTAAGATTTGTGCCCCATCTCCAAATCAACATAACACTGGTAAGAATTACCCCAAATGTTAATGTAAACCAACCACCGTTACGAACTTTAAGAAGAGTAGAACTCAAAAATGCCATATCAATTACACCAAAAATCAAGAAGAAAACAATAGAAACTATAATCGGAAATCCCCAAACAACGTGGATTGTTATAGATAAGAGAATTGTTGTAATAAACATCACCGAAGCAACTGCGACACCGTAAGCGATAGTTAATTTAGCGGATTCTTGGAAAGCGAAGCAAACTATCACAACAGCAACCATAAGGATGTAATTAATCTGTAAAAAACAAAATTGTTGTCAACACTAAATTTTGGTATCAAAAATTACTTAATTAATTACCTCAGGAATATAAACTTGTCCTTCAATTTTCTTTGAAGTGTGTACAATCTTAAAAAAAAGCAGAGAACATTTTAATTCAAATATTACAAATTTATCGATTGATTTCATTTCGGTTAAGGACGTACTTTGACTCTTGGGAAAGAATCTAATTGCATTGCCTGACTTATTAATGAGAATGTGGCAGAAATCATCGCTTGAGAAGCAATGATTGTCGCTAAAGTTGCTAGGACAAAAGTGACCCAATAAATAAAAGGGTTGTTCGGTATTGTATTATAAAATGTGTTTGAAACAAGTGTATTATCCAAAGTTAAACGAGCGGCTTGCCCAAGATAAGCCAAAACTAAAGAAGGATAAACAATTAGTGGAAAAGAAAGTTGGATAGCAACGCGATTGAAGTGGCCTAAATCAGCATATAAAGCTTCAACTCCTGTTATGGATAGCAAAACTCCACCGAGAGCTTCGAATCCCGTTCCCTTATTACGAATAAAATAATCAAATATATAGTATGGATTGAACGCTCTCAAAATTTTTGGATCGAACGTAATATTCCATATTCCAATAGATGCGATTGCCACGAACCATAAGAAAACGATTGGAGCAAATAAACCTCCTACTTTATTTGTGCCAAATCGTTGAACCGCAAACAATACAATAAGAATTCCGCTTTTTATTTTTATAAAAAAACGAGTCAGTTGATTTAAGCCTTCGTTAATTTATTTGTGTAAAGCTGTTAATTCTTACCAGCTAATGTAAACAATAGCTCCATGTGTTGGTGGAGATGCAACTGCAATTCCCTCTACTGCGGATATTACAGATATAGCTGGAGTTAACAAACCATCACTCATGATTAATGATGCACCAAGTAAAACGACGATTGTCAAAAAATTTTGTACAAATTTGTGGCGTTTTATAAAATTCTGATATTCCTTAGTACTATGAGTTGACATGGACTCGTAGTTTACGATTGTAAGATCGTCAGGTCTTTGCTCATCGTGAACACTTAGACCTGAATTTCTTTTAATGGTAATTATACAATAAATAACTCGTAAGATTAGATAAATATTTATATTTAAACGAAATTTTCTTACCTAAACAACAAGGAATAAAGAGCAAAAGTACCACCCTGTCCATTATCATCTGCTCTCAAAACGATAAAAATATACTTGATCATGGGAATGATAGTCTAAACGATTTTATGAATTAATAAAATTTCCTTCAAATAGCAAAAGTATTGAAATATATCTGTCGTGAATCATACCAATGACCAAATAATCAGAGAACAAGCACCTAAAGGTCAATCGATATAAATAATAAATAAAGAAATATAATTTATTTTCAATAGAACAAGAAAATCAAATAATACATACCAACGATGTCACGGTTATCATTAGGTACATCTGGAAAAATTGCCGTATACACGTATAAAGGGGATGTACCAATATCTCCATAAATCACACCTTTTGATGAAGAAATCATAAAGAATTAAAAGCCGATCAAATTTTTTTCGGATTCACATGTATATTTACCAAGAGTTCTAAAAGCCATTATCAAGGTAGTCACGATTCCAATGTCCTGAAATAAATACCGATATCAATGAAGCTCTATAATAAAAGTAAAAATCTTTTTCATCACACCTTTAATGCCGTTTGCTTATATTTGTATATAAGCTCTTTTGATGACGTAGTTTGTAATTTTATATCAAAATTATTCGTCATATTGATAAATTTGGTCCGATAAAAAAGACACTGAAGAAAAAATAAAATAAAAATTTTTTAACATATTTATAAATTTTTACTTATTTTTTAAATTTTGATCCGATCTGAAGGCCCACCAATCCTAAATTGTGTGCGTAGATTTTGCGAATCACATTCCATATGGAATGAATTTATAGAATGTCCATCAAAATTAACCGTTTATTGGGGGGCTACCAAATCTGTCATTCTTATTTACGAGCAAAATTGCATCATAATGCCCATCGTACCCAAAACTTTAAAAATTAATGAATAAGATGATCGTTTTAAGTTAAAGTTTCGTTCTTATTGCATATGTATTCTTGTACACACGTGAAAATAACTGAAAACAATATTTATATAGAGTTATTATTATACTCAAATTATTTTTTTTTTTTAATCCTTGGCATAAAAACAAATAAATTAACTCGTTATTGCATATGATTAAACAAATTGCCTCTAAACGGCCTAATGTTACGTAGATCGGTTAGATCGGTTAGCACTTGAATCACAAAAAATAATTTTGAGATGATGACGATCAATTAATTTTTACTTTTTTGTCTACTCTCGACGGTCTCGACCTACGTTTTTTTGGCATAAAAATTTGTTCGTTGATCATTATGTCAAAAAATTTATTGGTCATGGTTTTTAATGTAACCGATTAAAAAATTCAGATGTTCATATAGAACGTTACAACGTACAATAGTTACTAAAAAAAAATCATTCGTTTATATTAAATATTAAATTTTGTATGAACTCCTTTTTTTAACATTAAAAAAGGAAAATGATAAATACAATAAGTAACAACCCTAATAGTAATAGTAGTGTAATTTAAATATATTACAATAATTCTGTCACACCATTGGCAATTGATGAACGCCAGTTTTTTGCTCTTTCAAAGCCATTTGTATTTTTATCATAATCAAACATTGTTTGAAATATTTCTTCTTCCGAGTTCATCACGAAAGGTCCATAATTTACTATAGGTTCCTAAGTGGGAGGGGGAAATGATTTTGTAAATTCTTGTAAATTCTAAAAAAAAACTTTTTTTTAAAAATATTTACCTTCAATGGTTTTCCCGTAAACAGTACAAATCTCAAATCTCCATCTTTTGCTTCTACAGAAATATGATCTCCATTATCATCTAAAAATAATGCACTATGTTCTTCGCCCTTAAATTGATTTCCACCAAAATAACCAATCCCATTTAAAACATATATAAATCCTTGATGATCTTTTGGAATTTTTTGTATAATCTTTTTTCCTTTTTCAAGTTTAAAATCCATAATCATTGTAGGAGTTCTTGTAAATACTGAACTTTTTACTCCAAAGCTTTCTCCCGCAATAATTTTTACTTCAATTCCAGGTTCAGGTTTTGCTCTTGGAATATCATAATCCTTTAAATCTTGATACGCAGGTTCAATCATTTTATGTTCTCGTGACAAGTTGATCCAAAGTTGAATACCGCGAGAAGGCATATTTGAGGCAGGCATTTCAGCATGAACAATACCACGACCTGCTGTCATCCATTGCACGTCACTATAATATGATAGTAAAAAAAAAATGAATATAAATAGATTTTTTTTAACAATAATTAAAAAAAAATTTATGTACCCGGGTCCAATTAACCCTTTATTTCCGCCAAAATCTTCATGTGCAATTGCACCTTCTAATAGATAAGTAACAGTTTCGAATCCTCGATGGGGATGATCCGGAAATCCGGCTGGCGGAGTAACTTCAAATATATCACACAACAAAAATGGATCTAAAGTACTTGATCCACCTAAACATCTTCGAACCGTTGCACCAGCTCCTTCAGATCGAGTCTAAAATTAAAACTTAAGAAGTTAGTAACGAAATCTAATCCTATCAGCTATCTTCTCTATCAATATTATCTACCTTTGCAAAAAATGATCTTGTAATATTTCTAGCTGCCATTTTTTTTTTTTTTTTT